AAGTTCCTTGGGTATATATATATCTTCTCTTTACCGGGACGTACCGATAAAGATTTCGCCCTCCCCCTCTTTTTTAAAGCTTCAGATAAAGGTTTCCCTCCTCCTCATTCCTTTCTAAGTTTTCGTTGCACCTTTCATCCAAAGACACGAAAAGGGGGGCAAAAGGGATCTTCTGAAAGTGGGTCATTCGCGTACGCTGTGACGAACCTGCAGAAAAGCAAAAAGTTCTTACACCTCCCACATGTCTCTAGCAAGAAAAGGTGGGAGTTACTTTTTCGCAGTTACCTTTTTTTCCTTGATTACTCCGAGAAAAAAACTACTTTATTACTACTACAGGTGGAGTAAGAAGATTCCACAAAATGTTGACTGGGTTAATTAACTACTTAGTGAACTGGAAACAACTTTCTGTTCAAATTTATGCGCCTAAAAAAAAAAAAAAAATGGCTCAAATTCCGTTCTCATTTTCATAAATTTTGCGGAAAGTTCTGATATATTTAAACAACTAATATAAGTAACGCCCGCCGGATGAGCGGGTTAAAGCCAAAGCAAAATTTATAAGTTCTATTTACACCTGAAAAGAAAATGCATAAAAACATCTCAATATGAACGAAATCTGTTCATTCTTTCCAAGCAACAACCAATTCGTCATTTTTTTTTTTTTTTTTTTTTTTTTTTTTTTTAAGTCCAAAGGGATTTGAATCCCGAAGGACTATTTTGGCATTTTGCGTCGGACTCATAAATGTCGGTTCACTTTTCAAACTGTTGCCACAAAATGTTAGAGTCCTGCATTATATTTGAAGAAATTAAATAATGAAAAATCTGCATAAATGTATGTATATTTCTCGTATTGTGATAAAAACAACGGTACATAGAGTCATCGAATTTTGAATAACGTAATCCTCCAACGAATATGAGCATGTGGAAGACCAAATTTGAAATTTGAAATTTGTTTTATGATCGATTTCCTATTTTTTAAAACTTTGACGAATTTTTGATTAACAAACTCAAGGATTTCAAAGCGAGCAGTGGCAACGTTGTGCAGAAAAAAAAGAAAAAACATTTTTATCTCCAGCGCGTGAGTCTCTGTATCGGAAATTCTAAAGATATGCTCGTTTTAAAACTATTTTGCGATATTGCTGTTGCACTGGATCTTATGGTTTAAGTGCGAGGAACATGATATTTAATAAAGAAAGGTAAACACAAAAATGTTAAAAAACGCCCCTTTGGACGTAATTTAAAATCTGAAAAATTTCAGATTTTTTTTTTTTTTTTTTTTTTTTTTTTTTTTGACCAAATCAGGAAGCAAAATCTTCTGACACTTTCCACTTTAATATATATACGTATGAGGTAATTATTTAAATTTAATGTAATATAACTTTTTCTCAATACCAATAAAAGAAGTAACGTGGTAATGAGATACATTCTGATGACCTCTTGATCACGTGACTTATGCATAGCTTTTGTAACCAAACAATGCAGATGACATCAGAGATCACGTGACTTATGTACAGCTAATGTTGAAACAAGCAAATTTGTTTTATGATCGATTCCTATTTTCTCCTGACGAATTATTCATTAACAAACTTGAAACAAAAAAGCTGCCAACGTTTTCTTAGTACCAATAAAAGAATTAACGTCGTAATAACATAACCTGAAACAAAAAAGCTGCCAACAGCCGATATTTATTTAAAATGCTGACATTAATGAAACGTTTTCGACGTGCAATGACGTCATATGCAATCGCGTGCTTTCTTCAACGTCAGAATATGATCGTATAGAATAACAATATGTTTAATGTTTGGCAATTTTTTTTTTTAGTCCAAAGGATTTGAATCCCGAAGGACTATTAGTTTTCGTTTTGCGTTGGTTCACTAAATGTCGGTTTTACTTTTCAAACTGTTGCCATAAAATGTTAGAGTCCTGCATTATATTTGAAGAAATTAAATAATGAAAATCTGCATAAATGTATGTATATTTCTCGCATTGTCATAAAATAACGGTACATAGAGTCATCGAATTTTGAATAACGTAATCCTCCAACGAATATGAGCATGTGGAAGACCAAATTTGAAATTTGAATTTGTTTTATGATCGATTTCCTATTTTTTAAAACTTTGACGAATTTTTGATTAACAAACTCAAGGATTTCAAAGCGAGCAATGGCAACGTTGTGCAGAAAAACATTTTTATCTCCAGCGCGTGAGTCTCTGTATCGGAAATTCTAAAGATAGGCTCAATTTAAAACTATTTTGTAAAATTGCTGTTGAACTGAATTTTTTTTTTTTTTTTTTTTTTTTTTTTTTTTTTTTTTGGTTTAGGTGCGAAGAACGTGATATTTATTAAATAAGGCTAACATACAAAATGTTTAAAAACCGCCCCTTTGGACGTCATTTAAAATCTGAAATCTTTCAGATTTTTATTATTTCATATTTTATAACGCTTACAATTTTTTATCTACGAACTCTACGATTTAAAAGCGAGCAGTGGCAAAACTTTTATGCGATATAGAACCCGCATAAAAAGTTTCGATAGAAAGATAAACTAATTCTCTCTCATTATATCAGCAACAATGGCAAGCAGTTTTTAATGGTGTGGTGTATTTAATTATGGCAAAGCACACTACGGCTATCTGCCTAAGGGGAGGGATGCCTTCGTGGAGGGCTTTCTAAGGGAAACTGGCTCGTATACACATGGGGAAAACCACGAAAACGCTCATGCAGCCAGCCCGTTCGCGGGATCAGTTTTTAATGATTTTCCATCCAATATTTCGCCTATATTCAATTTTAGTCGATTATATGTGGCAAAAAATTGATCATAAGGGATCAGAAATCAATAACGCGAACAAACAGGCATTCTTATTTATATAGAGAGATTTCGTAAAACCAGCAAATTTTTGAATAACAAACTCTACGATTTGAAAGCGAGCAGTAGTAACACTTTCCGAAATAAAACATTTTCATCTCAAACTGCTGCATGAGACTGCTGCCACTTGAAGAAATCTGATGTGTACACCACATGACTACCTTGTACGGAATATTAAATTATACGCATTTTTTTCTTGAATTTCATTTAAACTTATTGGATTGAACTGTTATATAATCCAATAATTATATAACACTTAACTTATATATTTCGTTCATATTATAACTCATAATGCACAAAATTTAGATCATTTAAAGAATAGAATTATCTAATCGTTGCCACATGTTCTATTCAAATACTATAATAAAACTAGAAGGATGTATAAAAGAAATTAAGCAAACAAAACAAAAAAGAAACAGTTTTTCACAGACGATTGAGTATTTCTCATTTAATTAATTCAGTTCTTACTTCGCGAGAAGGCAAAAAAAATACATAAAAACTCAAAATATCTATATTAAAAATTACGAAGTAAATCTCAAACACTTATTTCCTCGAAAAAATTCCAGAAAGAAATTAAGCATGATTTAATTGGCAATAATAAATGAATGCGTTATCTTTGTTGTTGCGAAGTTAAGTTTCTCTAGATTGGCAACACAATCCACTAGTCTCCTGTTTCAAATGTAAACATCAATGGCCGCTATTAAAAAAAAAAAGGCTTAGCGGCACTTACTTAAACAACTTTAAAATTGTTGATAATTCTAAAAATATTGCGTCAACATTTACTAAAGGCATAAAAACCTTAACCGGAAGATAAAAACAACATAATACAATCATTTTTAAAGCAAAAAATGTATGATTTACAAACATATAAGAGTAAAGAAACTGAGATCACTGAGCGGGGTAACAGGGTGGATATATATATATAAATATATTTATATACTTTTGGTGCGGCCGATTGCAACCAAAACACGAGGTGCACATCTACATGTTATAGCAGTCCTATATACAAAATTTCAACATTCTGAGGCTGCTCGTTTTTGAGTTATGCGAGATACGTACGTACATACGTTCGTACAGACGCCACGAAAAATTGTCTTCAGAATTCATTTTAAAGCAGTTTTATAATTTTTTTGCAGGAAAAGAGTATTTTATTCTGTCATTACGTACAGGTATCACGCAAAAACGTCGTTAAATTGCATTCGATAGCGGTCAAAATGGATATTTTCTTTGAAATATGCTGCCTGCAACTTTTCGCGATTACAATACTTCCTTTTTACTTCGTACAAGAAAGTAAAAATGAGTGCAAAAATTAGTGTTTTCAGAGTTTTTAATTAATATCCCGGCTGACTAAAGTCGCATGAAGATGAGAATAGTCGAAATGCCTTCCCTCGAATTTTTAAAATCGGGACTAATGTTTAGAATGCTATTTTTATTTCATCGTAAAACTTAAGAACTTTTTATAACAAACTCTATCATTTGAAAGGTAGCAGTGGCAACAATTCTCGAAATAAATTAGATTTTATCTCCATCGTTCAAGACTGTTTCTACTCGGGAAAATAAGGGCAAGAATTAGCGTTTTAAGCGTTTTTAATAAATATCTCTGATTTTAGCTATTTTTTGAGGAGGGAGTGAGACTCGACATTTTCCAGGACCCAGAAAAGAATGGTAGAAAGTTTGGTGACGATAGCTATAGTAGTGACTAAGTTATTAGGGAACAAACAAACAGACTTTCTTCTTTATATATATAGATACAACGTGCCATGAGTGCATACTTTCACTTTCAGAAGCCCCTGCCTTGAAATTCTTTTCCAGAAGCTGGTTAATCATTTCCCTCCCATTGTGATAGGCTTCACTTTTAAATGGTCATTAAAGTAAGAAAGGGTTCGTAATTTAAGTCCGCTTCTCCTCCGGGTAACTCCTCTGAATGATGGGTTTTTGCACTCCTTAAAAGCCCTTAGAGGGAAAAGTTTTCTCTCACCACTTTCACTGCAAGGAAACAAAAAGGGTTTTGATGCACCTGCTTCCCTTCACTTGACTTGTTTTACCACACCCAAGTCCATAGGTAAGTACAGCTAGAGATCAAGCAAACTATTAAGAGGAAAAGAAAAGTATTAAAAAAGATCTGAATGAAAATATACCTTTCGATGTGCGAGAGGTGCATCTTAATTCAAGTTTCAGCCCAAAACTGAATGACACAATAGTAAATGAATGTGATAAGCAGAAGGCTTCTCCACACTCGACAGTAATTCCTCTTCCTCCCTCAAAAGCTAAAAAAAATATTTTAAGGAAATTTATTTTATCAAAAACTCCAACCAATTATTTTCCCAAAAATTATTTTTTCAAAAATGTCAAATTATTTTATTTTCAAAATCCTATTTTATTATTAAATAAAATTTTGAAATTTTATTTATAGTTCTAATTATTTTAATTTCTGATTCTAAAATTTGCTCTTAGCCCAAAATAAAACAATCTACGGTTTCCCCCCCCTGAAAACATCTCCAACAAACTAAGGTTGATTTTTTTCCTTAATTTAAAGTTTTACATTGGATTAAATGGATTCAGAAGAGTGTTTTTTTTTTTTTTTTTTTTTTTTTTTTTTTTTTTTTTCCCATGACGCCTGTACGTACGCCTGTACGTATCTCGCAGAACACGAAAACGAGTAGACCCAGAACGTTGAAATTTTTTACGCAGGACTGCTATAACATGCAGTTGTGCCCTTTCCTTTTCGGCTGCAATCGGGCGCACCAAAAATGTATAACATCCATTCTGTTACTCGGCTGGATGAGCTCAGTTTCTTTTATTCTTATATATTTGTAAATTGTGCGTTTTTTGCTTTAAAAGTCATTGAATTATGTTGTTCTGATGCACCGTTTAAGGTTATGCCTTTAGTTAATCTGAATGCAATAGCTGTAAAATTATCAACAATTTAAAAGTTATTTAAGTGCGACTAAGCTTAATGGAGCAGCCATTTATTTAAGCTTGAGCCTCTTAGCAGAATAGTGAATTCAGTTTCTTCTCCTTCAGTGTCTTTTTGCCGAATGGGACCAAAAGGAAACTTTCAGTTTTGTGCACCGAGAAATCTGTTTTCTTTCCAGATGGCCGAATTTGTAGCTCATTTTTGCGTAGAAACTCTAATTTAAATTGTAATTTTTTTAACTGTTTTTAACTGTATTTGGTGTTTATGTTTTTTCTATATTTTTCAATTTTTAATGAAGATGTTTAGGGTTTTTATGTTTTCTGCTCTGCCGCGAGGTGAGAACTGAATTAATTGAATGAGAAATATATCTATAATGAAATTCGACAAAATAAGTTTAAATCAGATTTTTGTCTGCAATGGATTTGAAAAATAAAATATTGCAAGTATGATTTTTTTTTTAATCCTTATCCTTCCCAAGAAATGTAAAATTTTAAATTCAAAACTTAATCACAAGGACTCCTATGCATATAAATATGCAAATTAAAGAAGAATATATGTGTGTGTAATCGATTGGATAGGTTTATGGCGTAGCGAGAATGATAAAGTGTAATAGGTGTGTTAGGTGAAAGCAAGCAAGCAGAAAAGTGCACCGCGTTCGGGGAAAAAAAAAAAAAAAAAAAGAGTGTCAGAAGGTTTTTGTTCCGAAAAGTGATTTGATTTCAAGTGAAATATTATTCGCTGATTGATCGTATATATACTGCAGTGTTCTGTAATATCGTATGGTATGCATCAATTTAAAATGCAGTTTTAAATTGATGAAGAAAGTTAATATTTTTAACATAGAAAAGTAAAATACCCAGATCAAAGTGAAGAATATAAGGGGCTGTTGTCAATTAAAATTAGAAGTTTGCTTTACATAATTTTAACTTGCACATATACACACACACAGAAACGAGATATATTTCAAAGATCATTTGCAGTCACTGTTTAACTAACAAAGAAAGCTTAAGAAATATGAAACAATAAGAAATACAAAACAACGTCTTCTAAAAATTTTGTTTCTAGCATATCCACATTTTTGTTCAAAAGGTTCTAAAATTTTTTTTCTATCATATTGACATTTTTGTTCAAAGATCATTTGCAGTCACTAATTGCAGTCACCGTTTAACTAACAAGGAAAGCTTAAGAAATATGAAACAATAAGAAATACAAAACAACCTGTTCTAAAAATTTGTTTCTAGCATATCAACATTTTTGTTCAAAAGGTTCTAAAATTTTTTTTCTATCATATTGACATTTTTGTTCAAAGATCATTTGCAGTCACTAATTGTAGTCACTGTTTAACTAACAAGGAAAGCTTAAGAAATATGAAACAATAAGAAATACAAAACAACCTGTTCTAAAAATTTGTTTCTAGCATATCAACATTTTTGTTCAAAAGGTTCTAAAATTTTTTTTCTATCATATTGACATTTTTGTTCAAATATCATTTGCAGTCACTAATTGTAGTCACTGTTTAACTAACAAGGAAAGCTGAAGAAATACAAAACCACCTCTTCTAAAACATTTGTTCCTAGCATATCCACATTTTCGTTCAAAGATCATTTGCAGTCATTGTTTACGTAACAAAAACTTTAAGAAATATGAAACAGTAAAAAATACAAAACAACTGTGTTAAAATTGTTTTAGCATATCGACATTTTTGTTCAAAAAGGTTCTAAAAAATATTTTCTAGCATATTGACATTTTGTTCAAAGATCATTTGCAGTCACCGTTTAACTAACAAGGAAAGCTTAAGAAATATGAAACAGTAAGAAATACAAAACAACCTGTTCTAAAAATTTGTTTCTAGCATATCAACATTTTTGTTCAAAAAGGCTCTAAAAAATATTTTTCTAGCATATTGACATTTTTGTTCAAATATCATTTGCAGTCACTAATTGCAGTCACTGTTTAACTAACAAGGAAAGCTTAAGAAAAATGAAACAATTAGAAATACAAAACAACCTGTTCTAAAATTTTTTTTCTAGCAAATCAACGTTTTTGTTCAAAGAGGTTCTAAAAAATTTTTTTCTATCATATTGACATTTTTGTTCAAATATCGTTTGCAGTCACTAATTGTAGTCATTGTTTAACTAACAAGGAAAGCTTAAGAAATACAAAACCACCTCTTCTAAAACATTTGTTCCTAGCATATCCATATTTTCGTTCAAAGATCATTTGCAGTCATTGTTTAAGTAACAAAGAAAGCTTAAGAAATATGAAACAGTAAGAAACACAAAACAAACTGTGCTGAAAAATTTGTTTCTAGCCTATCCACATAATTAAGTAACTCGCACTTTCCCTTTCCCTCGAAAAGATCATTTTTTTACCTAAAATCTATTTATCGTTTTAACAGAAAAAGTATACTTTTCTTTTCGCAATTCCTTTATGTTTAAAACATTCCCGAAAGCCGCTGCTACTCTGTTATTATCTCATAAATCAAACACTCACACTCACTTGAGTACTGAACGGAGAAATTTAAGGCCTTAGTAAAAAGCTATTACAGGTTGTTTCCGAAGGACTCAAGGCCGTCGAAAGGTCATCTTGCGCGGACAGTGGTCAAGCGTGAGATGGATAACCTTATAAAGTGCCGATGGCTGATGGATCACCTCCCGGTGCCCCCTGTCATTTTCTGACCGGGGTAATCCCAATTGGTATGCTTTAACCCACGTTTTCGGAGAGTAAGAAGTTACATCTGTAAAGGGTTCCTCGCAATGTTGAACAAGAAAGAAATGTAGGGCAGTGAAATTGCCTGGGGGCGTTGAAAATTACCTGGGGAATGGATATCACCCACCTGACCTTTTTAAGGTATAATTTCAGAGGAGAATGAATGACCCACCAGAAAATTAGAAACCAGGTGGTTGCAAAGAACAGTCACCAGTGACTGCAAATGATGTAACCGAAGAACATTAAGTGCATCCTGAGAGTGAGTAAGGTCGTGTTCAAGGACAAGCTAATAATAATCAGATAAACCTGAACACACTAAAAAAGAAATGAAGGGAGATTCTACGCAAACCAGGGTGACAACGATTAAAATCAAACCAAGCCTCCCTACTTCTAACAGCTGGAATCAATTGTGTCCGTATAATTTATTACATAAAAAGCATTATATGCTATTTTTATTAGTTACTACTGCTCATCACTCATAGCAATATATATTTCAATTTATAAGTTTTGTCACTCATTATCACTGCCTTGCTCCTAATACTCTTTGAGAAATGTCTAATGTGTACACTACATGACCTCTTTTACGGAATATTAAATTATACGCATTTTTAGCTGCGTTTCGTTTAAACTTATTTCGTCGAATTTCATTAGAGATAGATTTCTCATTCAATTAATTCAGTTCAAGACAAAAATACATAAAAAACTCAAAATATCTTAATTAAGAACTGAAAGATGTAGAAAAACATAAAACACCAAATACAGATAAAACAATTTTAAAAAGTTTACAATGAAAATTAGAGTTCCTATGCAAAAATAAGCAATTCGGCGAGCTGGCAAAAAGGCAGATTTTTCGATGCACAAAACTAAAAGTTTACTTTTGGTCTTACTCGGCAAAAAGACATTTAAAGTGAAGAAACTGACTTAATTCACTATTCCGCCAAGTTTCAAATATAAACAAATATGGCTGCTGTGGTTAAAAAAAAGCAGGCTTAGCCGTACTTAAACAACTTTTAAATTGTTGATAATTCTACAAATATTGCATGCAGATTAACTATAAGCATAAAAACCTTTATCGGAGGGTAATAACATAATTCAATCATTTTAAAGCAAAAAATGCACAATTTACCAACATATCAGAAAAAGAAAAAAACTGAATTCACCGAGCCGACTTTTTGGTGCTGCCTATTGCAACCAAAAAGGGAGGTGCATAACTACATGTTATAGCAGTCCTATACACAAAATTTCAACTTTCTGAGGCTATTCGTTTTTGAGTTATGCAAGATACATGCATACAGACATGACGAAAAAATATCTCTTTTGAATCCATTTTAAATCCTTTTTGCAATCCGTTTTGGAAAAAAGAGTCCTTTATTCTGTTCTCACGTACAGATGTCGCGCAAAAACATCGTTAAATTGCATTCGATAGCCATCAAAATGGATATTTTCGTCGATGTTTTCAGAATGCGATTTTGAAACAACGCTTAGCAAAAGGTGTTTAAAATGTCTTATACTTCCATTATAACTTTTAACGTAGACATTATATGAGAGCTAAAAACCTTTCAACTGCATAGAAATATTAATTTTAACTAGAGACATGCACCACTATGATTCATATTACATTTCTAGCAAATACTTTATTTA